CCCTGAAGTAACCCCGCAACCGGCCTGATGGCGGAGGGGTGGTAAATTCCCTGCCAAGACATGTGTCGTTGTTGCATAGCATAAAAATGCTGAAGCAAAGGTAGTAACGCCCGTGGCGCCCCGAGCCACCGGGCAACCTCAAGCGCCTGGGCCACGTGCACAGAATCAAAACAACGCTTGATGTCAGCTTTGTAGCCCGCAAAGTGAAGGCGGTTGGTCCTCGCGTGGTGCAGGTCAGCAGCGAAACTGGCATGCAGGTCGGCACAGGACCGCCCCGGCATGGAGCCCAAGAGTGAAGCTGGAGCCCAGCTAAGCGCCCAGGCCCGAAGGTTGCGCACCACCACAGTGCCAAGGGCGCGCCAAAGCGCCGAAGCGATGGCGAGTGGACGAAGGCCACCATCCTCCTTGGGCAGCAACGTGATCCTAACATGATGCCAGCTATGCGGAAGTTTACAAGCACTAAGGCAGCACGTCCACAAGCGAGTCAAGAGCTGAAAGAACGGCAGCGGCAGCAGCGCAAGTGCAGCTGGCGCCCAGGAGTCCAAGCCAGCAGCCCGCCGCGAGCTAGCCCGAAGGCAGGCCAGCACCGCAGCAGGAGTCGGATGTAGCAAGTCATCAGCCCAAGGAGCCGTTGCCGGGCCCAGGCGGGCACACCAATCGCGAGTCTCCTCCGAAGTGTGCGGCGCGGGGGTCGACCATTGAGCTCCCCACTTGGCATGCTCAGCAGCAACAATGTCTATGGGATGCACCGGTGCATCGTCAAGGGGGCCAGGAGCCGGAGCAGCCGTGCGGCAGACCCAGCGCCGCAGTCGGTGCACGTTGTTTTGCACAGCATCATGCCATTGCCTGACCCGGCACTGCGAAGCCGAAACCTCAAGCTGGGCCGCCCGCCGCAACGCAGCATCAGCGATCACCTGAGGGGAAGCGCAGTCCGTTAGACCTTGCTCAACCGCATCCCGAAGCACACGTTGCCTAAGGCTAGCAGCCGAGGGATCCTCAGGGCGTCGTTGGAGTTCCAGTGCGCGCCGCGCAAGGCGGCGCAGGCGGCGCTCCGGATGCGATTGCAAAGCTTCGCTCTTAGTCGAAGGGGGGGGGCGAGGCCTAGGGGAAACAACCCAAGCACGGGGCAAGTGACCGGCATCGGAGTGCGGGTCCCCAGTCAACAAGGACTCAGCGGCATGGCTAAGGAGAACCCAAGCAGCATTAACATCCGAAGCATGTAGCGCCTGGTCAAACGCAACATCATGCTGGGCCCACGCCTGCTCCCAAGCCTCGGTCGTGACGGGAGGGAGGTCAACAGACAGCGGCCGGCGCGAGGGCGCCCGTGGTAACTCCCGGGTGTCCTTAGCCAAAGAAAAGGAGTATGCCACCAAATCGTGATCGGCTGGACCCGGGGCCTGCTGGCGATCCAAAGCGGGAACCCCCACGGTGGACAACGCGAAATCCACACATCGGCCTGTAGGTTGACCGTGCTCATCCCGGCGTGTGGGCCGCAAAGGAATGTCCCCCTCGTTTTGTCAGCCAACCGCCAGAAGCCCGCAGCCCTGGCGTCAGCAATCGGGGCCCGGTCCGGAGGAAGGTTGAAGTCACCTAGCAGAATAGTCTCATCACCCCGCGCCGCAGCGAAGCTGAAAACATCATCAAGAAGCTTGGCAGCGAGTGCCTCAGAGGCGGCCGGAAGATACAAGTTGAGCAGTATGATGGGCCGCCCCACCGGGCGGTGCAACCGCACAGCAGAGCCGCGCCCCACAGGCAGCAAGCCCTCAGGCAAAGCGAATGGCATCACAGGCAGTCGTGAAAGGATGGCCGTACCATAATGAACCTGCCCAGCCACATTAGCAGCTTGGGAGCCCAAAGCACAGTGCCACCCCGCATGGCGAAAAGCCGATTCAACAGCAGCCCTCGAATGATCAGGCACCCGCGTCTCCTGAAGCGCCAAAACATCAAGGGAAAGAAGCACAGCGAGTGCAGCCACAGAGGCAACCCGCCCAGCCAAAGTGCCCACGTTTAGGGTCCC